TGGTTTGGAAGAAGAAGTTGCTGGATCAAAATACCACTTTTGGTATATATTCTGACAGAATTTAGCATCTTATATTTTCCTTCATGGTATGTTATCTTTTTAAACACCTTTGTTTAGATATAATTCACAAGCCATACAATTCACCTATTTAAACTGTATAAACCATTACCTTTACACTCTTCACAGATGTGTGCAATGACCGCCACAATCAACTTTAGAACATATATGTCACCTTCTTTATGAGGTATGATCAAAAATATGGTGAATGTTGCTGCCGAGTGCTATCCAAAGGAAAGCTGGGCTTGTTAAAACATTACAGTGTGTTCACATCCACCTTATTCACAAGACCTGGTGCCGTGCAACTTCTGACTCTATTGCAAAGGATACTGAGGCAACCACAACAACACCACTAAAAACACTCACCAAAGAGGACTTCCAGAGCTATTTCAGAAAGTGGCAAGAATAGTTAGATGAGTGTTTGAAGGAAGCTGGAGTATTCTGAGGGGGGATTAATGGTGGTGTGAATTTTACTCGAATAAAAAATGTTATTTAAACATTCAATGTCATTTCAATCACATAGCAAATACACGTGCATGCACACACACGAACACACACACACACACACTCCTATTTTGTTTATCCACTTAGTTCATGGACATCAGGTTGTTTCTGCTTTTTGGCTATTACAGATAACCCTTTTATATGGAAAGTCATGTACAGGGTTTTGGATGGCTTATGTTTTCATTTCTCTTGAGTGTATAGTGAGGAGTGACTTGCTGGCTCGTGAGGTTTAACTTTCAGAGGAAATGCCACACTGTTTTTCAAAGTGACTGTACCACTTGACAAGCCCACCAGTAATGTAGGAGATTCCAGTTTCTCCACATCTTCATCGACATTTCTCAATGTACTTTTTATTATAATCATCCTAGTGAGTATGAAGTGCTGCCTAACTGTGGTCTTCATTTGCATTATCCTGATACACAGTGATGTTAAATATTTTTTCATGCACTTTTTGGCCATTTCCTTGGAAAACTGTCTAGAAAGTTCCTCTGCCTACTTTGTGTGTGTGTGTGTGTGTGTGTGTTGCCCAAGGATTGAACCCAGGGCCTCACACATATGAGGCAAGCACTCAGCCGATAAGCTACAACCCTAGCTATTGCCCATTTTTAATTGGGTTATTTTACTTTTACTTTAATGTGTTTTTAAAATGTAGATTTGTGGGAAGATAGGTACTCTGGATTAAACCCAGAGCATTTGCACTGAGTCACGTTCTTAGCCCTTTTCAATTTGTTTTTATTTTGAGACAGGGTCTCAGTCACAAAGTTTCCCAGACTGGGATTAAACTCATGATCCTCCTTCCTCAGCTCTCAAATAGCTAAGGTGTGCAACACAGCTTTCAGTTTACAATGCAGAATTTTGTCTTGTTTTTATTGCAGAAAAGAGGTAGTGTATAGGCATATATAATATCTATCAATAATCAGAAAAATCCAGATTTTTTTTCCTCTCACACTGAAATATCTACAGTCAATGTGGTTTATGTCTGTGCTTATGAGAACTGGTGTTTTTCATCCTTGTCAGTAACTACCAGCCTTTCAAAGCAATAACTGCCCGGCCTGCCAGGCTGACAAATTATAGTTGGATTTAATTCTTTATTTTAAGGTAAAAAGTTTATGTTGCCATTTTTGCACTGCTCTGTCATGAGTCCTAGAGACAAATTCAAGGCCAAACCAAGGACATATTAGCAGAGTGCAGTGTGTTTTTAAACATCATTGTCTTACTGTTTTTTGTGGGCTTTGTCTTTAATTTTTAAAATGTAAATCCCCATCTCTGGATTCCTGTTCCAACTTTTCCTGGAGGCCTACAGAAGGTTTATATTTAGTATGCGATCAAAAGTATATTGTTATAGCCACACTATTCCCAATCTTCCAGTTCCCATGGGGTGCAGGCCCTGAGTGCTGACTTCTTGAGCGATGCACCTGCTATTATGGGTTGAACTGTGTCACCCCAAAAGAAATATTGCTGGAGTCCAAACTGCCTATGCCTCAGAAGGTGACTTTATTTGTAAATAAGGTACTGACAGAAGTAATCAAGTTAAGCAAGGTCATCAGGATGGACTCTAGTCCCATATGACTAATGTCCTTCTGAAACAAGGAAGTTTGGGGACAGATGCACAGAATGAAGAGAATGTGCATACAGAGAAGATGGTCATCTGCAAGCCAGGCAGAGGCATGGAACAGATTCTCCCTTTCAGCCTTCAGAAGAAAACAACCTTGTTTGGATTTATGACTTCTGGCCTCCAGAACTGAGAGGATAAATCTCTGTGAACCAGTTTATGCCACTTTGCTATAGCAGCCTCAGAACACCATGGAATCCAGTGAGGGCCAGAGCTACGGCCATCTTGGGGCGGAGGGTCTCTCTCCCCATGGGGACTATTCTCTGAGTGAAGCTAACAATGCTACATTGCCATCCAGCACAATGAACAGCAATGAATGCACAACTTGTGTGTGTGTGTGTGTGTGTGTGTGTGCGTGCGCGCACGCAAGCGCACGTGCATAGAATACTGGGGATTAAACCCAGGGCTTCTCACTGAGCTATGTCCCATCCCCTTTCTCCTTTCAGACAGAGTCTGGATAAATTTCTCAGGTTTTCATTGAACTTGTGATCCTCCTACCTCAGCGTTGGATTAGGTAGGATTACAAACATGTACCAACACACCTGCTGTACCACACTTTTAGTTATGGTTGCACTTTGAGTTTTTAAGCAAGGACCCCAGCACAAGCCCCTAGAGCACTGGGCAAGAGCCCCTTCCTTTCTCTTCATGACAAAAGATGACCTTAGTTTCATGACTGGTTCAGACTTACCCTGATTCCATCTCAACCTTTTTCCTCCCTCCTCCAGCTAATCAACCAGTCCCCTGGTCATGAGGATCATACTTCTTACATGGCTTATAAATCTTTCACCATTATACCCCAAAGCTTCATGACTCTTACCTAAGCACAGCAGCCCCTAAACTTAGTTTTCTGCCTCCAATCAAACTCCTTCTCCCAACACTAAATTGAAGTGATTTAGTTGGCATCTTTCCTCACAAGAAGTTCCATGAGGTGAAGGACTGTGCCTTGTTGCAATCATAACAGATGTTCAGAAAGTGTCTAATGAAGGACTGGAGGGAGGAAGGGGTCCTCAGTACTTTATGCAAACATATTTCGGCAGGTGCCTCCTCCACCCACCAAATCCATCACACAGAGAAACTTCAGTTTACGCAGGGATCCAATATTTAAATAGGAATAGAGCTTCTTGCTTCTTGTTTTATGTATAATTACTGCTAATCCTTAGTAACAACAACAAAAGAAATTCCACAAGTACATGTGACTAGCGCAGAGGCAGATCAGGACAAAGACAAAAAGCAGAAAAGGAAGAAGAGGGGGAAGAATATTTGAATTCTAGTAATACGTCTGGCAGTTACAGTGATATCTCACTGGTCTAACTCAATTCATTCCAAATGTGTGTGCAACACCGAAAAGTTTGAGAACCGAACATATTTTCTCGTAAAAAATAAACACCAAATAATTGGTTCTGAGACTCAAATTTATACTTATAAATTCATTTTTCCAGGACTTTAACAATTTCACAATGATTTCAATATTTAACTCTACCGTGGTTCCCGCGGTTCTCCTCTTAGCTTTATTGCTGCTATCGCTAACTTTCTTTGGAGCCATGGTTATGACATTTTACACAAATAAAGCCGGGGGAAGCACAGTAACAAATGTTTTAACACCCTAACACGAGCGCTATACATCGTCGATGAGAGAGCGGCGCTTAGACTGAAGCATCACCCCTCTGTGTCTGTATCAAGATGTGACTTGTGACTTCACTCTCAACCTATACAGGTTTGTTTTTTTCAAGTCAGATTTCACTTTGACCATCTAGCAAAGTTATAAACACTGAGCAGATTTTTTTTCAAACTTTTCTGTTCCTGGAACGTTCAAGCTTGGAGCCATTCAACAACCAAGGTATCACCATAACGGGACTCTGCATATCACTTAAACCCTAAGAATCTTGGGTTTTTTTATACATCACATGATGTAATAGCTACCCTGCAATCTTTCACAGCATTATCCTGTCACACTAATAAAACAGAGTATTTGAAGTTACCTTTCAAATCCTAAACCAGGTGTGGTGACTCTTGCCTATAATCCTAACTCTAGAAGGCTGAGGCAAGGGAATTACTGGTTAGAACCCAGCCTGAGCAACCTAAGAAGACTGTTTCAAACTGAAAAAATAAGAAAAGGATTGAGAAAGTAGCTCAGTGAGAAGGCCCTCGGTTCAATTTCCAGTGCAGAAGGAAAAAAAAACATCTTTAAAATGTATGGTGTTACCAGTCAATGGTTATCTAAATATAATGGGGGGGGTACCAGGGATCGAACTTGGGTCCTTGTGCCTGCAAGGTAGGCAGCGGAACCACTGAGCTAAATCCCCCGGCCCTAATACAGATTCTTAAGCAAACAAGCAGTTACTCTCACAGAGAAACACAAATGACGATCCAACTAATGTTAAAAGTCATTCTTGACTATACATTAGCCTATGTTTAGTAACTCCTTTACTCTCTCTTCTTTTTTTTTTTTTTTTCTTGGTACCGGTATCTAACTTGGGTCCGTGTGCTCGCGAGGCAGGTGGCAGAACCACTGAACTAAATCCCCAGCGCTCCTTTACTCTTTTAGCTTAACACAGCTGTGCCTCAGGATCTGTGCGGGCTGGATTCCAGGGTATCTCAGGCAAAAATTCTCCAATTCTCAAGTCCCTTATATAAAACAGTTTAATATTTATATAAAGCCCATGAACATGCCCCTATGTGCTTTGAACTATCTCTAGATGGCTTATAATACCTGATACAATGTAAAAGCTATGTAAGGAGTTTTGATACTGTTAACTTTCTATTGCTGGACAAAGTATTGTATCTGAGCTAAGCAACTTAAAAGGAACAAGCCTTTACTCTTGCTCACGATTTCAGAAGATTCACTCTGCATTTGACTCCATCTTTTCCCAGCCTCTGTCCAGTCAGAATGTCAGGGCGGGGAGCGTGGGAGAGAAACGCTGCTGGCTTCACAAGGTGGAGAAGGCAAGAGAAAAGAAGAGGCTGGGGTCCCATCCGGGCACGCCCCCAATGATGTCACTTCCTCCCCAGGTGCTACTTTCTCAAGGTTCCACCCACCTCCCAGGAGCACAATCAGCTGGGGACCAAGACTTTTACATACAGGCATTAGGAGACGTTTTAAGATCTAAAGCATAACGGTATTGTTTAAAGAGTAACAAGGAAAAGAACTACATGTAATGACAAAAAAGTACAAAAGCACAGTATCTTTTTGTTTTCAAATATTTTCAACCCACCCAGGTTTGATTGAATATGTAGATGTAGAACCCACAGTTAAGGAGCTATCTGTAGTTGACCGTGGCAATATCAGTTTAAAGTCCCTGCGATAAACAGACATTTCTCAGACAAAGAAGTAAAAGCAGTAAATAAATATATGAAAAAATGTTCAACATCCCTGGTCATTTGAGAGATGTAGATGAAAACAACACTGAGATTCCACCTCACCCCCCCAAAAATGGCTGCTATCAAGAAATCAACCAATAGGGGGCGGCAATTTAGCTCAGCAGTTCGGTGGCCTGCCTTGCAAGCGGAAGGACTCGAGTTCAATCCCTGATACCAAAAAAAGAATAAAAAAAGAAAAGAAAAGAAATCAACCAATAACAAATGTTGGCGGGGTTGTGGGGAGAAAGGAACCCTTCACCATTATTGGTGGGAGGGCAGACTGGCACAACTGCTGTAGAAATCAATATGGAGATACCTCAAAGAACTAGGTTTAGAGGTTCCTTTTGACCCAGCTATCCCTCTGCTGGGTATCTTTCCAAAAGAATTAAAAGAATCATATCACAGTGATATATGCACACCCATGTTTATAGCGGCACAGTTTGTAATAGCTAAAACTTGGAAACAGCCCAATTGCCATCAATTGGAGACTGGATAAAGAAGATGTGGTTTTTCTATAAAATGGAGTACTACTCAGGCATAAAGAATGAGAAATTGGAGTTATTCATAGGAAAATGAATGCATATCGAGGCCATACTCTTAAATGAAATAAATAGGACACACGTGTAAATACTGAATCGTTTCTCTGGTGTGAAAAACTAGAAGTGTCAGTAAAATCCAAATTGTATAACTGTTAATGTGAAATAGGAAGAAAAGGGCTAACAGTATAGGGCAGGTGGGAAGGGCAGGGAAAAGGAAAGAAGGGAAAAGAAAAAACGGAAACAAAATCTTTGTAAATAGGGGAGCGTGGAGGGGGTGGAGTGAGAGCAGGGGTACGGGGGAGGGGGATGAGAACCAAGATCTGCCGTGTAAAGGTACAAGGTCCCAATGATAAATGTAACTGTACTATATACTTAAAAGGTACCACTTAACTCAATGAAAAAAAATAACAAACCCCCAAAATCTAATTCTACAAGTAGATGAATGTACAGCACTGTCAGTATATTTATAGCTAGTCAAGAGTACAACTAAAGATAATTAAAGTAGTAAACTTTTATGCTATGGATATCTTGTCAAATTGATAATTAAAATTACTGGCGTCTCCAAGGGCAAAAAAATAAAGTCCCCATGATAGTAGCAGTAAAATGTATTTCAAGAATCACTGTGCCACAGTGTTTTTCACTTTGAAGTCCATGGCTTTTAGACCCATAAAGCTTCTCAAGAACTTGTACCAATGTGCATTTTTCTGAAACTGCTTCCTAATTTTCCCTCAGGTTTTTGTTTGCTTGCTTGTTTCTTATTTTGTTTCTCTTTGTGGTGCTGGGGGTGGAACCCAGAGTGTTAGCACTGAGCTACATCCCTAGCCCATTTTCAATTTTTATTTTGAGATAAGGTCTTGCCAATTCACTAAGTTTCCTATGCTGGATTGGAATTTGTTGTCCTCCTGCCTCACCCTCCTATGGTGCTAACATTACAGGCTGTGCCATCACATCAACCTCATTGTTTAGAAGATCTATGAGCCAAAAATGCCAAGAACAAATGGCTCAACCTCCTGCACATTGCTTCTAGAAACACCGCTTGTAACAGTTCTGATGGTCCACGGCCAGAGAGATCATCAACTTCTGAGATATTTCATCCTATTGATGTCTAAGTCTACTTGTTTCAGAATTCATATCTTTTCAGAGCCACAATGGCAAACACAGCAATCCCCACCTTCTACACAGCAAATCCCCTCCCTCTTCTAATTTTTCCCTGAAGTCAGAAAATAGTATTCTTTTGTCCACAGAATGAGTCTGAGCCTTCTTTCCAAGTCAAATAGCTCCAATTTCCTTCACCATTCCACCTAAGGTCTGCTCCCAAAAGTTTCAATTCCCAGACCACGCCCTGTAAACAACTTCTTACTGGTCAAAGTCACTGCAAAATCTGAGTTTATGTTCCCCTACATAACCTGCGGGGCCACAATACTTGACTTTTGTCATTGATCTCAGTTGAATATATTCCTAAGAAAGATAAAAAAGTAAAACCAAATAGAAATGCTCAAGTAAGATGAATTAGTTGTTTTCAAATTAAATCATACAGTTTTCTATATAGAGGGCCTACTCAGATCCAAGCCAGTCTCCAAAAAAGAGCTGTTCAGCGTCATGTGCCTAGCCCTTGACTTCCCTAGGTTATTCTATGTGTCAGAATCATACCACACACACACACAAACACACACACGTGCCTGTCAACATTAGTCCACAGTGCAAAAGTCCTTCTGATTCTTTATCTTCTCATTAATACACTAAAGCTACCACACTTAACATGGAACGAATGGCCTGTGTATTCTATTTCCCAACCTGGAGAATGGGTACAAACAAACCTTATTCCTCTTTTCCATGACTGATAAAATAGACATAACATAAAATTTACCATTTTAACCTCTTTTTTTTTTTTTTTTTTTTTTTTTTTTTTTTTTTTTTGGTACCGGGAATCAAACTCGGGACTTTGTGCTTTTGAGACTAGTGCTGTGCCCCTGAGCTAAATCCCTGGCCCTATTTTAAGTGTACAGTTTGGTACACATTCACACTCGTTATGTAACCAATCTCAAAATTCCTCCTTTTTTCAACATAAGCATTAAGCAACTAAAACTATGTTAAAAGAATGTAAGAATTTCTGGATTTCCTAAAATATATGCTCAATATTAAAGAAATATAAGCCATCCACATAATTCACTGTCATGGCCTTCCTTTTAAACATACTATGGTTTTTATGCTTTAAATTATTTTCTTTCTAAAAAGAATAATAACAAATCTTGGGTTAAAGGGTTTACTTGTCTTGAGAATGTCCCTTCCAAAGGTCATGTTAAGTAATTATGTGAAATTCTTTTCTCCTTGATTTTTGTGTTTCTGAAACACATGAAAAAAATGTACTTCTTTGCCAGGGCAGCCTCCATCTAATCGGCAGACATCAGTGTTTTGTTTTGTTTTTTTAATGTTTTGAATGGTTTGGAGATTAGCATGGGTATTCAGTAGAAAGTGCAATTTCAAATTACACACTGCTTCGGGGTGCCAAAAACACTGTGCACCATCATCCTTGATGATGTGCACACAACATAGCCCTAAGAATGGTGGTTGTTAGTTATCTAGCTTTGCAAAATTGGAAGATGAAATTGTAAACATTGTGTCCTTAGACAGGACTCTTTTTTTTAGAAAAAAGTGGGGTGCCTTAAATACAGTTCTAATTGTTGTTATTCTAGCAATATCTTTTAATCAACAATAAGCATTTAAATCAATGTTACAAAGAGGACCTTATCCAAAAGGAATAAAGTTAATCCATGGGCACCCTAAAAAGAAGATGACAAGCCTATTTACAAGCATATAACCTAGTAAAATGCTGGTCCTCAGTAGCCAACATTTTTATTTATATACATATTCATATAAAAGCATAACCATGTATATGTAGAAATATTAAAATTGCTTCAACTTTAACATAATGCTTAGAAAAAGATACAAAGTAATCATTCCTTGGCATTAGTCACAAACTACACTATTCATCATGGCCTATATCTCATCATTGATGACATAGGCACAGAGAAAGTACAATGGCTAAATCCACCATATCGTCATTATTAGGAGAAACCAAGCCAAATCTCAAAAGCAGATGGCCCAAAACCAAGTATGAAAATAGCACATTGGCATAGTAAGAGCTAAAGCATTTTATTAAGATCATTCAGAAGTTAAGCTACAGTGTATCTTACTCAATGAATAGCTAAAGCCCTTTACCTTCAATCCCCAAAACAGATGAACAATTTACATCATTAATCTCAATGTCTCTACACACAGTCTCCTAACAATCAATCACAAAGTAGCCTGAGAGAAAGTTTCCCTAAGTACCACCAAAAAAAAAAAAAGGTTTGAAACAGATGTCTCAATGAAACTTTTAGAGGAGATCTCATGTCAAGAAGTTAATATACCCTTATGTATTTGTTAATCAGTCCAGGTACAGGTAGCCTAAAGCTGAGGAATAAGAGCTATTAGCGAAGAAATCATTTAAGTGCAAAGAATTCATGGAAAAGCACAAGAAAAAGTATTATTTATAAAGACAGAAACACGCGTAATAGTACATACAATCAGAAAATCCCCACCTGGAAGCCATCCAGAGCGGTGCTTGTATTCAGGTTACCTGGCACTAATAAACATAAACTCTTTTCTCACCCTGACCACTCATCTAATCGATGAGCAAAATGACTTGCCTTGTCAATCTTTCAGTCTCTCCATCTATAAAAATGGGAACTAGAGTTATGTGTTAATGTAGGGAAGCTAAAACTCTTCCAATGAATGACAGATATTATCACCACAAAATATAGAAAAACATATAATTTTGAATCTAAAACAGGTTTAAAGTCATATTTTAAAATCATGTGGTCAAATAGACATATATTTGGAGATAGATGGCTCGCAGGGGATAATGAGAGAGGATCAGGGTGAAATGACTCATGAATTCAGGAATGCAGAGGTTCTTAGCAGCATGAAGTCACAAGGGACCAACAACAAGGTCTCTCGTCCCCTCCACAAGCATTGTGCTAGTGGCCTCTATGAA